TCATCCCGAAAAGCCCTCAGTTGAGTTATTATAGTTTGCAGTAAGAGGATTGACGACTACTTACCAGGAAAATGTGCATAATAAAACAAATTAAAATAAATAAATTTGTCAAGGTCATCAATTCGTTCATTACGTAGTTTTGTTTTGGGCTGCTACAGCTTAGAATTACCATGACATCAACCGTAAATCTATCCCTAATCATAACCCTTATCTGAACTGTAATTCTAACCCTAATGCTAATTATAACCCTGATCCTAATCCGAAGCCCATTACTTACCTTAACCCTAATCCTATCCCTAAAGAGCTATTAACACATTGTCCTAACAGTACTTAAAAACGTGATCTGAGTGAAATTTGGTGCTTTAGCTGGTGAATAGCGTTGATGTCTCAGCTGTGATAATCATAGGTGGTGATGTCGTTAACCAGCGACTAGCATGAGTTCAAGGTCATTGGAGCGTTCGCCTGACATCGATCCGTGATCATGTTTGCAGCTCTGATGGGTGATTTTGATTTGGCGGAATTGTTCTCTTTAATCTTGAGTGGTTTAATCAATGAAGCTTTCATTGGCCTTCTAGACACGGCATCTTCAGTGCAAGCGCTTTTAAAATATTAGATAATAATAACAATCTACTTTATTCCAAGACGAACAGTACTTATAATACAGAATGGAATTCTCAGCATTTGTCACAATATCTTCCATCTGATTTACACTTTAAATATAAATAAAATTAAAAATTAAAACAAAAGTAACCAGAGGAATTTGTCCACATTTACCATATAAAGTCAAAAATATTCGAAGCACGAATTTAGAGTATTAAATATTATAATTATAATAATAACAGTGAGTTCGTTTCAAACAGTACTGTCGATTCAGTTTGGAAATTTTAGCATGTTACGATAGAGTATTTAATCTAATGTTTTGTTGATGTAGTAGTATAGTGAGGGGAAATACAAAATTAACAGTTATCCACACAGCTTAAGTGATGTTCACACTTATGAAAAAAATAAATTAAAGCAAAAAATTGAGAGGATTATAAATATAAGAAATACAATAACAATAAAGTTTGGTACTGTAAGGGTGGAAGAAATGGTTTATTTAGTAGTGCAAAGAAGGTTAGTTAGTTAGTTAGTTCATGCCTGACACTATTTTCATCACATAAAATACGTACCGCCAAATATGGTATAGTGGAATTTTTTTTACTTAGACGTACTTGCATAAATTCTTCTGAAAAGACTTCTTGTTTTACCTGAAGAGACACACAAGGTTGGATCTGCGGGTACTGTGGTGGATGCTCAGAGTCTGACAAAATTCCTTTAGCAAATCTATTGCATGCCATCAAGTGCCTATCAGTGACAATGTCAACGATATGGCCCAATGGGATGCCACCACTCGCCCTACTGACCGACAGTCTTCAGAGTCCTACGAAGTATGACATAGTCTTTTTTAAGCAATGCAGGAAAGAATAATTAAGGGTGAACAGTTAAAACAAGAATAGGTAAAATACACGAGTTGACAAACTGTAAGAGGAGGAGGGGTTGAGTTATGTCTGCGTGCCTTAACTACTTAATGTAAAATGTCAGACGAAATATTCTTTAGAAATCATTAAGACAAGGGAAGACCAGGATAGGTTAGAAGAAAGAATTAATCCAATCAATGAGATGCTCACTAGTGACTTGCCCTATTCAGATAGGTAGTTACCTGGGGTTCTAGTGAGAAGTCGTGACCATTAGGATGCAGCTGGTCGGGTGTGGGGACAAATACTCGCCACGGAAGACATTGGCTAGGGGTCGCGCTATGTCGTGAATTGGCAGAAGTTAGAATTCATGGGCCATTGGATCGGGTCCCAGTGGCTTAGTGGTCTACGAGCTAGCTCGCCTTGTAACCAGATAGTCCTGGGTTCGAACCTCCGTGGTGTGCGTGCCTACCGATGAAGAGTCCCGAACTAGGACGAAAAAGCTGTCCGGTACTCCCAGGTCTTCCAATGGTTCTCTAACTAATGTCAGCTCATGATGATATCCTGTAAACCAATCAAATCCCTACAAACCAACACTTGAATAATCCGAGATACCTAACTTCTTTGTCTGATGTACTCCTTTTTTCCCAATTATTAATTTAGTATTAGTAGTGTTTTGTGTGTACACGTAGAAGTCTATGCGAATTAATACAGGCTATAGAATATTTTAGCTCTTCGTTGTTAGAAGTCACATTCTTCATTATTGTTATGATTATTATTAATAATTATGTTTTGTGTTAAACAGACAGTTATGGTGATGGATGATATGCTTTGGTGCCAAAATAAAATGCATATGAATAAAAATAATAATAATAAATAAAATTTGAGATCTTTGAACTTTTTACCTTGATCGCTTACTCTGGCTTTTTATGTGGCTTTACGCACTACTTAGTTAAAAAAAAGTGTTAAGCTGTTTATTTTATTTTTTAAGACGCATTATGACGATTATTACTATTGTATTATCTATGTATTGATTCACTTTTTGGGTATTTAGATGTGTATGCTTGTGTGTGTGTGTGTGTGTGCCTGTGTTTGTGTACATGCTCATGTGCTTATTTGATCTAGCTTATCACCGACGAGGTGGGGGTGTAGTAGTCTGTACTGTGACATTGACATTTTTCTATGTTGTATCATTTTCAATGAATTATTTTGAAGGCTTGTTATTTCTTCATGTGACTTGGCATTACCATTGGTGGAGAAGCGTTTCGTTTTTTCCTGAGACTCCTCAGTAGTATGGGGTATGGTATTTGAGAAGTTGGATCAGCTGCAATGGATGACTGATTGCTGACAAAGTTTCAGCTCACGTGTATCATTTGTGTAGGTGGATATGGATTGAGATGCCTAGGGCATGTGTTGTGTGTGTTTGTTCCTATCCATCGCCTTCCTCGATGGGGAATGTTAGCTGACATAGGATCAAGTTGGAAAAGAGTTGTAGGTGGTAAATACAAAACCTAGAATCAGTCCATGAAATCTCTAACAGTTAGTTTTAAGCCTCTGACACGTATGGATGGCCGAAATGTTGTTGGATGGTATAATGACCTCGACATATCAAAAATTAGTTCAAGTGGCGGTAGATCAGCTTCCTGCTGAACTCTTTTTGTTTGTTTGTTTTCTCTTTTTGAATGTGTAATACAGTACGATATGTCTTTCTCGTTCAGATTTATTTATCACTAAATTACATAAACATTAGTCTTCTGGGTAGAGATTGCCATCTTAGCTGGTAGCTTCTTCAAATCATTTACACTAGAAATCAGTTGCCATACTCTTTAGGTGATATCCGCGACTAAATGATGTAGTTTTGAGGAGGGAATACGATAACACCATGAATGCCTTCATTTCAAATGTGTTAGTTGACTTAGAAGGCATTGAATCCTTCTGGAATTAAGCACTGACGAGGAAGCGCAGTACCTAATATATTATATATATATAAGCTGTACAATGAACAAGTTCTGTACCGAAGCGTAACTAATGCCATGTGTCTAGTCCCTAAAACTGACTGAGTTGTATAAATTGAGTGTGCGTCGGTGGCAGAGTGGTTAGGACTCTCGCCGACCATGCATATGGTCCGGGGTTCGATCCCCGGCTAACGCACACCTGATATCAGTGGTTAGCCTGCTAAATTTGGGCTCCCAATATCACATGCTGGAGATTCCATACTTGTACCGAAAATACTCTGTGGAGTCAAGGTATGACAAAATAAAATTTGAAATAAAATAAAATTTACATTATGTTCAGCAGGCTACAGAAGACCCACCATCCTATTATTATTATTATTATTATTATTATCGTTCCCTTGACCTCTGAAACGTGACGTAATAGGGTTTCAACAACACGCTACCATCTTGTCCTATCCTCTGTGGCCCTTTTTAGCTGGCTAAACGATTGCCCATAGTCTCTCATCTTCAACTGATATGATCTCCATGTCACCCTAGTACAAACGCCCTACTTATCGTTCCCCATTTGGGTTCCCCTCGACTGATGGCCTATCATCGTGGTGTGCTTTTAGTTCAGTAGATGGCATTGTGCACTCCTTGTCTATGTGAAATATAAATATAAAGTAACCTTGATTAGTGTACATGGTTGTATGATCACCATTTCTTATCAGTGCGTTATAATTTTTTCTAAGAAGATTTTCACTGAACCGTCTGTATATTTGTATTTCGTTTCTGATATAAGGAAAAACTTCGGCACTATATTATTATTATATCCTTTAATTCCTAGAGGAACATAGGGCTTCAGCCGCGCGTCTCCAATGCCTTCGGTTTTCTCCCAACTTTTTCACCCCACTCCAAGTCTGCCCACATGCTTTCATCTCCTCTTTACATAACCTTCTCTAAGTCACCCTCACACTGACGACCAACTCGCAGCTTCCCTTTCGGGTTCCACTCGAGCAATGGCTTGTCTAGTGATGTCACTTGATGGTTTCCTTAGAGTATGCCCAGCCAATCCATCTCCATTTCTTACTGCCTATTTGTTTCACAATCGGTTCCTGGTTGGTTGCTTCGCTCATTGCCAGAGATCCCTGTTGCTGTTCTTTTCTGGCCGGCCATCTGATCTTGAGTGGCATTGAGTGAAGACAACTGTTGATTGATGAAGGTCTGTGGTTTGTTTGAGATGCTCTTTGTGACGCGCTGGCCAAGTCTCTGATCCATATAGTAAGAAGCACTGACTGACTTCACATTGGAGTTGAAAACCCGGATCTTATTTTTGATGCTGAGTGCTGAGTGTTGACCTCCACACAGACTTACTTGAGAGTAATGAAAGCTTGTCTTGCTTTTTCGATTCTTGCTCTGATATCCTCGTCAATTCTGTCAGCCTTTAGTTTAAACGAGTAGAGTATTAATTCCACTATGGATAAAATTTATTTTGATAAAGTCACACAGTGTGTTATGTAGTTATATTTACTGATTTATTACATTTCGAGCACAATTTATTACCACTCATAATCATATAAAGGTCTGTTTTTCCTTCTACAATATATTTTAGAGAGGAACCAAGGATTGCTACAAGTCGTTATTCTCTAAATGATGGTAGTGTACGCTTTGAAAGTGAAGACGATGGAGAGCTGGATGATTATGCAGGTATGCGGTGGCGTTCCTTTCTTTTTTTGTTTTGTATGTATGTATGTATGTGTGTACCAGTCGTGCTTTTCCATGCATATTCAGAAGTGTTTTACTTTAGGCTGTGATGATATGTTTTTCACAAAATCGATTTTTCAAACCTTTTTTTCCGACTGAGGTAATTTGGTAGATGGTGACTAGTAGTAGTGTTAGGATCCACAAGGATGCTCATCTCGTCCTATTTGTGACTCATCAGTCAGTTGGATGTATGTACCTGCATTCTCCAATGAGTGGTGGTGTTCCCCCTAATGAGTGAGGCTCGAACCCAGTACCCATCGCTCCACCAAACGTCAAACCACTATCTATCTACTAGACCCAATCCGGTCTCGGAACAGACTTTAATAATAATAATACATAATTTCCGATTCACAAAAGGTGGAGAAGCTGCCGTTGATGCTCTGATGTTTCATAAAATGGGGACTACTGAGTTCGAGCCTCAGTGTAAGGGGGGACACTGTCACTCACTGGGGAATGCAGGTAGTACACCCATAAGTTGACGAGTCCCAGCATGGACGAAATGCTCATCTTCATGTATTCCACCACTACTACTACTACTAGTCACCTTTCACCAAATTACTTCAAGTTAATTAATCATCAGGCATCGTTGAAGCATCTTCACTAGGAGGCGATATTGTTTGTTCACAGGAGCTGGACACCTTTTCCTACTGGTTTGATACTTTTGTCCTTGAGTTTATAATAATGTGATGTATGATTTTGAGTTGTTTTTTTTCTTGCATTTAAATTGCATTTTTACAGGAGTGACAAGCATCAAAAGTGTAATTTTTGTTCGTTTGTTTGTTGTCATCAATTTGTGACTGCATATCATCATTCATCATTGTTTCGGTTGTGTGTTCCCCTTTCATTTTCCAGTTTTTCATTGATATTTCACATTATCATGATGTTTATTAATTGAGGTTCCTAGTTTTGATTTCCTAAATAATTGTCGTGTAATATCACGAAATGATAAGTTGTACAGTTTTGAATGTGATAATCAACAATGGCTTAAAATCAATGTGGCAGCAGCTGCTTACAGTTTCGTCGTTTTTTATACAGAGGTATCGTCCCTTTGCGTTCCCGCTGGTGGAACACACACCAGCACACCTTCACTGCATTTGGTTTCCTGCTATCTAAGTCTTAACAATTCTGTGTTGTTAACTTAAGTCTTTATGAGCGTCAGTGGCACAGTGGTTAAGACTCTAGCCGACCATGCGCATGGTCCAGGATTCCATACCTTGCCGTCGTACATCTGATATCAATAGTCGGCCTGCTAAATTCGGGCTACTGATATCACATGCTGAAAATTTCATACTTGTACTAAAAATACGGTGTGGAATTAAGCTGTAATTTAAAAAAATGAGTGATATCAAACCGATGAAGAGTCCTGAAATGGGACGAAACACCCACATCAGTACTTCGTTAGTGGCTTCTAGTGGTCAAGTGTCAAAAGAAATATTGTCATACATGTAGAATAATTCACAGGATATATATAGATATTGGAAGGGGGCGTAAAATTATACGATTAGTAGTAGTAGGTCAATAAAATAAAAACGTTCCATAACATGGTGTGAAATTTGATAAAAAAGAATTTAGCATTGCAAAAAAGGTTGTTTTTTTATATTTACGATGACAAGTGGGAATAGTTAAAAGTGAGAGTGGTAATAATAATCCAAATAAGCAAATAAATATTTACCCCTCTACGGCCATGGCCGGCCGGGAATAAGGGATTGTACACACTTCTTTTGTACACAAAGGTGTTTGGCTTAATTAAATTTATGATGAATGGTTAAGTTCTCCGATGTCTTAAGAAGTTTAGAACGAAGAAAACGCAACCAGTTAGCTATAAATTCGACAGATGATTTTAAAATCATTGACAGGATTGGTGTAGAGTGTGACACATGTGGATCAAATGTTGCTCTAGAATAGAGTTTCTCACATCCTTCCTTTCTCCTTTGTAAAGCTATGCTGGAGACTATGTTCTCGTATGCGTCTGGAAATCGTTGTGTGACTACAGGCAGTGTTACATGTTCTACAAGAGCAAGTGGACTGTGATAGATGATGCACATAGGAAGTGGCCAGCTGTAGGGGGAGCTTATCTTTTCCAGAGAGAGAGAGAAATGGAGAACAACTTACGACTGGTGAAGGTTGGTCATTTATAATTTGGCAGCGAAGAACGTCATACTATGATTGATTTTTGAGCATTTATCTGAAGCCTGATCACGTTGGAATCTCACCAAATTCACCGATATGGTTTTCTTTATGTGGAACTGATCCAGTAACTGACCTGTTTTTTGACTGCTTAGCCTTCATGTTGCTTTTTCATGTCAATAAGAATCGGAGCGAAGAATATTCAATATTTTCAATACAATTTCTCCTCTTCTGTTTCTTACAATTATGAAATAGAATATTTGTTGTCGTTACAATAAAGGCCAGTTATGCAGTGGCGGATACATTTTTCAAAGTAGAATAACAGATTAGTAGTTATGGGGTGTCAAAATAAATAGTCGTATTTGTGATTGACAAACGTGCTGGTAGGCTGAAATCAATTACAAAATATTTCGGTAAAATGGGAGACATTGGTGGTGATTAGTTAGTCATAATAGATTTGTAGAGAGTGTTGTGGGGTAGGAAAACTGACAAGTCAGTTCAAGGTTATAAAAGGTGTCAGGTGAGTAAGTGTGGCTAATACAAAGTGGTCTGTATTAAAGGAGGCAATAGTAAAACTGCAATGAGATTTGGTTCATAATGAAATAACGAATGTGTGAAATGAAACAGGTGGACGCATATATTAAGAAAACAGATAATATTACTAATAATAAGTGCGGATAGAATAAATGGAACATCCGATAACATTGAGAGAATGTTTGCATGAAGGGCATACATTATGGCGAATAGTCATAATAATCGTATTGATATGCAAAGAAAGAAACCAAAACCAAGAGAGTTAAGGGGAAAGGAGCACTCTTGGTGAGAAGACGGATCATCAATCCAAGTTTGACCACGGTAGGAACAGCATCTAAACGTGTTCATTTTGGATACAAAGTTCCGGTTTAGTCGATCTTATTGCGACAGCTTCAGTTCTGTGTAGGAGACGTAAGCGAACTGTACGTGATAACGACTTCGGAATTCGGTATATAACCCTGAAAGCTGTGTTGACATCGATGCTATGTCCAGGAGTCTCGACCAATTGTAACAGAATCGAGCTTTTTATGCTTTTGTCAATTTTCCTACTTATTAACGAATCTGTTATGACTAACTACCACCATTGTCTCCCATTTTACAGTATTTTGTAATTGATTTCAGCCTACTAACAATGTTTGTCACACCAATTCTCCTGTTTTTATTTTGACACCCCATAACTAAACTGGCTATCATCATTGTGACGACAACAAATATTATTGTAATTGTTTTCTAATTGTAAGAACCCTGAAGAGAAGAAGTTATTGAAAAAAGAATATTCTTTGTTCAGATTGACTTTTATAATAAGAATCGGTTCATGTAACCCTTTTTCCACGAAATTGACTTTTAGAAAGGAAACGTTTTGACTCAACTCAGTCTGAACCACTCATGTGTTTCTTATCCTAAATCATAGAGCGCGGGTGAATTAGATACTTCTTAAAAATCATTTAAACCTGTGTATGTGTGTGTTTGTGCGGTTGGAGATGCGAGATGTGTGATATCAATGTGAAAATAAAGATATTATAGGGTAAGAGGAAATAAAAAGCACCTACCTCTCTCTAGCTCTAGCCCGTTGTTGGATCATTCCACACACTATAAGTCAATTTTTGTTTGTTTTTTATGGCTCTGTATAAATAATCTTTCTCATTTAATCTCTCTTATCTCTGTAGGGTATTTGTGCTTTTAAACCATTTGATTATGAGTCATTTTCATGCTCTGTGGTATATCAGATTACCCTTTTGTTCAATGTTATTTCTCATCTCTGTGCGTGTGTGTGTGTGTGTGGGTGGGTGCGTGGGTGGATGGTTGGAGAAAATGCATGTTAGAAATAAAGGTAATATAGTGTAAATTTTAAAAGTCAATCTGAGCGAAGAATATTCTTTTTTCACAACAAATTTCTCCTCTTCAGGCGTTCTTACAATTAGAAAACAATTACAATAATATTTGTTGTCGTCACAATGATGATAGCCAGTTTAGTTATGGGGTGTCAAAATAAAAACAGGAGAATTGGTGTGACAAACATTGTTAGTAGGCTGAAATCAATTACAAAATACTGTAAAATGGGAGACAATGGTGGTAGTTAGTCATAACAGATTCGTAGAATAATGTGAAGTAGGAAAATTGACAAAAGCATAAAAAGCTCGATTCTGTTACAATTGGTCGAGACTCCTGGACATAGCATCGATGTCAACACAGCTTTCAGGGTTATATACCGAATTCCGAAGTCGTTATCACGTACAGTTCGCTTACGTCTCCTACACAGAGCTGAAGCTGTCGCAATAAGATCGACTAAACTGGAACTTTGTATCCAAAATGAACACGTTCAGATGCTGTTCCTACCGTGGTCAAACTTGGATTGATGATCCGTCTTCTTCTCACCAAGAGTGCTCCTTTCCCCTTAACTCTCTTGGTTTTGGTTTCTTTCTTTGCATATCAATACGATTATTATGACTATTCGCCATAATGTATGCCCTTCATGCAAACATTCTCTCAATGTTATCGGATGTTCCATTTATTCTATCCGCACTTATTATTAGTAATATTATCTGTTTTCTTAATATATGCGTCCACCTGTTTCATTTCACACATTCGTTATTTCATTATGAACCAAATCTCATTGCAGTTTTACTATTGCCTCCTTTAATACAGACCACTTTGTATGAGCCACACTTACTCACCTGACACCTTTTATAACCTTGAACTGACTTGTCAGTTTTCCTACCCCACAACACTCTCTACAAATCTATTATGACTAACTAATCACCACCATTGTCTCCCATTTAACC